ATGAATTAATTAAATTTAGATATTTAAGATATAAAAATAAAATAACTAATTATATATTCACGATGCTCTCTCGTACAAAAATTACATTTATTTTTCATTAAACGTGATGCATATAATTTTTATAAATATGTGACAACAAAACTTTATTTGCTTTGAGACATGTCTATCTTGATATTAATCAATTCGACTCGAAACTTAAGCATCTGTTTGGTGGAAATTTTTTGAAAATGGATTTTGTGTGATTTTTCGAGAACGTATGGTTAAAAAAAGAAAGAATTATGAATTTACGTGCAAAATTATTTTATTGAAAAATGATGTAGTTCAAATAAATTTGAAGAACACATTTTAAAGCAATCGTGCTACACATTCAGGTTCAAATTTAGATGGCATACATGTCGATGCATGATTAAAAAGTTCGAAAAATCAAAACAAAAAATTCAATTATTTTCTGATACATCTGTCCTTTTTTTACTTTCTTGTTTTTAAGTCTGACTAAATGGGTTTATTCATTTTAAAAAGGGACCAAGCCAACTAAATTTAGAGTAATGATATTTAGAATAATTGGCGTTTAATATCATTCTACTTGAAAATATCAGAGACATTAAGCCCTTGTTTGATTTTCATTACATTATATTACATTACATTCTATTTTTCTCTCTCCTATTTTCAACCACACAATCTTCCATAAAATAATATTACACGTAAATCGAAAATTTTTCTTTCTTTTTCAACCACTCATTTTTCAAAAAACACTATTCTATACATTAAATTTTCCCCGTAATGTGGGCCAAACTGGGGCTAAATTGGTGGATAGCATTATTTCTAAATTTAAGAGAATTCAAAGGCAAAGTCAGCCACTCACCCTTTCATTTATAAACACGTGCACCGGCGGTTAGCGTCGTGGTGACAGCGCACTTGCAATAGGATACAATTGAGCTCTCCACCCAACAAATATATTATAATGTAATTCGGCAATTTTCTGTTGAATTGACAAAACAGAAAAGGATAAATGGTGGAGTGTAAAGTGCAACTATATAATTGGATAAAGATAAGAATATTAATATGATATTATGTGATTTGTTGCCACCAGTAATGAGGCAAACCTATCACGACCTAACTACATTACATATTACATATATTCTTTTCTTCAAACATTTTATTCAAATGCCCCCAACTATTTTTGGTGTCATCTTCTGCTCTCAGTGTATATGATAAAAAAATTTCACCGCTAACGTGACAAGATAACATTAGCTATGGTTTTCTAAATTTATAACCGTTTCAAATAACCATATCTAATGTTCTCTTGTCATGCCAACGATAAGAAGTTTTTATCTCGTCTATCAATATCGAGCGCGTTTGATTGGATTTAAAAGTTGTTTTCTAGAAATAAATTTTTTGTTACAAGTTGAAAAGGGGTAAAGTATTTTTTTCAACTCTCAAATGAGAATGGTTAAACGATTGGAATTTGGTTGACTGGAACGATAACGTTTGATTCAGTGATTTTGTCATCTTCCATTCAATGCAATGGTTGCATGTGGAAAAATATGAGTCCCACGATTTTCTTTTTGGTATTCATTTTCCTTTGGGTAGAGATCATGTGATTCGATGATTGTGATGGTTAGGGCAAAGAGATTAGGGCATTTGTTCTTGGCAATCAAGCTTGACTGTCAATGACTAACTTCCATTTGCAGTAATCGGACTTAGTGTGAATCACGTATTATATTTCAAATTTGTTTAATCGAATAACAACACTTTAATTTAATTTCAATTGGATAATTCCACTTTAATTTAATATCAATTAAGTAACTATAATTAAATATCAACCGAGGTAACTTCTTCCAACTCCACTCATGAAATTGATGACGTGGTAGTCAACAAATAATAGTTACCCAATTGAAATCAAATTAAGGTATAGATATTCGATTAAATAAAATTGAAATGCGATTATCTAATTGTCACTACATGGAAGTATAGTTATAGCCTTTTATGGGTAGTTTGAAGGTTATGTTCGTGCTCTTCTTTCGTGTATCTGCAGTTCGAGACCAAATATCTTAACGTATGAATTTTTGTAGCATCAATTTGACTATTGGGTCTAACCATGACCAAAAGAGTAATTTATTATATTTAAAAGCAAGACAATAACTTCACTCCTTTTAATCAAACATGCTCTATTGATATTGAGATAGAGTATTTTTTAGTCAATGTGAGTGACATGTAATTCTTCGAATCTGCAAATACAATGGTGGGTTGGTGAGATTTCTCATTCAACAGTGATGTTTTTGTTATATCCATAAATTGTGGTGAAAAATTGGTAGAAATTAAATTTTAGTATGTAAAATGTGAGATACCGCATTGATTTGTATTTGGACGTTTTTGGTCAGTACTTGTCATGGGAAACTATGACTTTTTCATTCAAACCGCTTTATTTTTCTTGTATTTTGATAGGTGACTTAGTTCTTGTTTAATACAAATTTTAAGTCAATTAAAATCATTTTTTTTATCGTTATTTCATTATTTCAATCGTCATTTTGAATTCTTTTCTCACGGGTAGGACCCACTTTATCTCTAACAATTAAAAAATCAATTATCAAAATTCCTATCAAACAATCACTTAGTGTATTAATTATTGTCTTGAATTCTCATGTCTTCTTGGTTATTGACGATCTTTTCAGATTTAACTTTGCACAAAAACCAATTAAGAGTGGTTCTTCGATCTTAGATACTTGCTTTGCCCTCATTATTGGAATGAATGTTTGGAGGACGTTTGAACCGTTATGAGATCATTTTCAGTTTTTCAATTTTCTAAAACATTCAAAACGTGTTTGGTATGCGTCTTGGAAATCAAAGAAATTTTAACACATAAAACTCAAAACGACTTTTTGATATCTCAAAAAACTCAAAGCAAGAAAAATAAACTTAAAAATTTCTCAAATTGAAATAATTAATAAAATCGCACAAAACC